TTGATTCATAAAGTTTGAGAAAGTTGGATAGTAGGTAAAAGTCCTGACCCTTTACGGACGCAAACGTAAATTATACTTACAAAGAATTAGTTTGACAGGGATTTCTGATCAGTGGGCATTGAGTTAACAAAGTTAATTCTGTTTCGGCTAGTTAATAGTTGTAAGTTATATCTGAGTGTAGCGTTGCAGGACCAACCTTTTCATTTGCTCGAGTCTGACGCCACCTAGCTTCTTTGCTGATCGTTTTATTTTTGTATGTTTTTCATTGTATTTTTAAATATAATGTTTGATATATGGAAAATAATATATGTAACATGTAAGTTATAAAGTATAATTAATACTTATGAACTCAACAGCCAATTTAAGAATGTCACCAGGACTATTTCATCTACCTATTCCGCCCCTCACCCCCGGCCCCCAGCCAGAGGTAAATGTATCATCTATTCTGAATTTGCTTTTAAAAAGAAAAATAGTCATCATTATACATACATCCCTAAATATGCTAAGAACCTTATTTTTGTGTGTGTGTGTTTTTAAGTTTTTTGTTTGTTTTGCTGAGAACCTTACTTACTCAAAGTGTAGCCTGTGGGCCAGCAGAGAGCTCCCTGGAAATGAAGAATTTCACACCCCACTCCTGACCTGCAAAATCAGAATCTGCATTTAACAAGCTCCCCAGGTAATTTGTGTGTGCACTGATATTTGAGAAGTGTTGCTTAGGAAAAATTACATCACATGGAGTTTATTATATGTAGCCGTAGTTGCTTTTTTACGGCTGCATAGTATTCCGTTATTTGGCTTTATCCAATTTATTAATCTTTTTTCCTGTTGGATTTTTTTTTGAGGGGCGCATTATGACATCTCTTTCATATTTGTGTACTTAGGGTAACCTAGGTTCTTGTGAATCTGAATTGCTGCTCCTGTTGGATTTTTTTGTAGGGACTTTATTTTAGCAGTGCTATTAACATCCTTGTAGGTCTCCTGTTGTATATGTGCAATAACTTCTCGTATACATCTTGGAGTAGAATTGCCGAGTTGTAAAGTATGTGAATGTTCAACATTAGTAGATATTGCCAAAATTATTTAACAAAAGGGTTGTTCCACTTTATACTCCTTTGGCAGCGCATGAGATTTCCCTTTGCTCCTTGTTCTTGATTCTTAGTTTTTAAATTTTTTTTGCCAATTTGGAGTGTGTGATGGTATTTCATTGTGACTTTAATTTGTATTTCCCTAATGAATAAAGGTTTCATATGTTTCCTCCTCTGTGAAATGCCTTTTCGTGTCTTTTGTCTAATTTACTATTGGATTGCATGGTAAGGAAAATAATGGTCCCCCAAATATGTCCACCCAGAACCTATGAATATAGTGCCTTATGTGACAAAAGGGATTTGCAGATGTGATTAAGGATTTTGAGATGGTGAGATTATCTTGGATTATCTGTACGGGTTCCATGTAATCACAAAGGTCCTTATAAGTAAAAAAGTGAAGTAGAAGAGCCAGAGGAGATAGATGATGGAAAAAGTCTGAAAGATGTGATTGGTGACTTTGAAGATGAAAGGGGGCCAGGAACGGAGGCATGTGGTCAGCTTCTAGGAAGCCAGAAAATGCAAGGAAATGACTTTTTCCCTAGAGTGGAGTTTCCAGAAGGAACACAGCCCTGTTGACATCTTGATTTAAGCCCAGTGAAACCCAGTGTGGATGTCTGAACTCTAGTACTGAAAGATAATAAATTTGTGCTGTTTTAAGTCACTAAGTTTGTGGTAATTTGTTACAGCTGCAGTAAAAAACTCCTACAGGTTGCTTTTTTTTCTAATTTATTTGTAGGGTAGGTCTTATGAAGGTGATATTTTATAGGGGTTTATCTAAGGGAAGAGAATTTCAGGAAGAAAAAAGTGCAAATGCCTTAAGACAGGAATGTGCATGGCATGTCAGGAGTAACAAAGTCATTTTAGCTGAAGCAGAGTGGGCTAGGCAGGGAGGAAAGGGGACTCAGATAACAGAAGCTTGTTGGCTTTTGTAAGGACTTTTTACATTGGGTAAGATGAGGACACTGCAGGGTTTTGAGCAGAGGATTGACTTCTAACTTAAATTTTACCATTTCTCTTTTTTTAAAAAATTTTATTATTAGTTTCAAGTATACAGTACATTGGTTAGACATTTATATAGTTTATAAAATGATCCCGCTGATTGCTTTCTCTCCTCTGGCTCTACACCTAGCCATTACATTAATGCTAACTGCATTCTCTATGTCATGCTCCCCATTCCTGTGACCATCTATCAACTACTAATTTGTACTTCTTTAACTCGTCACGCCTTTCTTCCAGTTCCCAACTCCCCACCCCTCTACCCATCACCAGATTGTCCTCTATATTCGTAAGTCTGTTTTTGATTAGTTTGTTCTTTTGGTTAAAAATATGGGACGCTTCACGAATGTGTGTGTCATGCTTGTGCAGGGGCCATGCTACTCTTCTCTGTATTCTTCCAATCTTAGTATATATGCTGCCAAAGGGAGCACAGCCTTACATTCTAAAAGGATCAGCTGGTGCTGTGTTGAGAACAGACTATCAGGAGACAGGTAGAAACAGAGACCATTAGGAAGCTGTCGCAGCCATCTAGGTGAGAAAGATGGTGGCTGGGACAGGAGAGCAGCAGTGAGATGCTGATGAGAGAGGACCCCCAGGATGATGAGGAGGGTCAAGGATGGCTCCAGTTCTGAGCATGAGCAACTGGGAAAAAGTATTCATCACCCGAGATAGAGAAAGCTACCAAGTAGAACAGGTTTGGGGGGCAAGATCAGAAATTCCATTTCGGCCATGTTTGGTTGGAGATGTCTATTAGAGATCCCAGGGGAGAAGTCAAGGAGAAAGGTATGTGAGTTTGGACTTTTAGAGAAAGGGCTGGGCTGGAGATAAAAAAAAATTGGGGTGTTATTGGCAGATGGATGGTGCTTGAAGCCATGTCTGGGTGAGGTCATCAAAGGAGTGAACATGGATATAAAAGACAAGAGGACCACAATACTGTAGTTACTCTAGTGTTAAAAATTACTGGAGAGGAGGGAAACCGAGAGAGAATCGTACCCCCAATACAAGTGAAGAAAGTGTATGTAAGGGGAAGGAGTGACCAGCTTGGTCGACTGCTACTGATAGGTTGAGTAAGAGGACTGAGAATAACCATTAAGTCATTGATGACATCAAGATTTCAGTGGCGTGTGAGGGTGAAAAACTGGCCAGAGAGGTTTAAGAAGAGAAAGGGTCTAATTGCAGGCAACTGATATAGATGCCATTTTGAGGAGTTCTGCTGCAAAGGTAAGCAGAGAAATGGGGCAGTAGCTGGTGGGGGAAGTGGAGTCAAGAATCTATTTTTTAAAGATGTAGGTTGAGTCTTCCCTCAATACCCACATCTTTTTGGTTGCCATTCCTGTCTATTCCACCTCCATAAACTCCCATTACTCCTGCCCTGTCTCAGGCCCTCATCATCTCTTGTCTGCATTACTATAGTAATAGTCCAATGTGTCTTTCATGCTGCCACTGGCAGGATCAGCCTGGAAAACACTGGCCAAGGTTCTCCTTTGCTGACTCCTTTCCTAAAGAAGAAAAGTTAGATATCTAAATGGGGGGATGGATGCTATTTTCTGTGCAGGAATCAGGGTCCCAGAAGGAAAGAGAGAACATACTCCAATTACAATGATGTGAAGAGAATTTAATAAAGGAACCTTTCCAAAGGAATGGGCAGAGTATAGAGAAACCACAAAGGTTAGTGTTTTCCTGAGACTAGTAACCAGGAGCTCTGTTACCCCTAAGCTTGAAGAGGGTCTTTGGAAGGGTAGGAATGGAAGATACAAGTTCTGGAAATGTCTGTGAGGCTGAAGAGTGAGTTTTCCCCAAGAACCTAGAAATAAAGATATCCCCTGAAAGTTAGAAAAACCCACCCAGAACAGATGTGGGAGCAAATGCAAGATGGTTGATCTGTAAATGTGTGACTGAAGTGTTTGGCAATCAACCAAAGGCCATCAAGGTGGTGGCTGGGGGCCCCTCAAGAGATTGGGGCCAGACTAGGACCCTAGTTGTGTGAGCAGAAATCCCAATTGTATTAAGTGAGCTAATAAAAGCAAAATGTCTACAACAGTGTCTAGCACCAAGAAAGTAGCCGTTATTGTTAAACCCAACTTGGAGAAAGGCTTTATGAAGAGAAGAGAGATCATAGAAAAGTGGCATCCCAAAACAATTGGGGGAAACATATTCAGGTTCTGGTCGCAGAGATACTAGGCTAAACTGAGTCCTTAGTATCAAGGCTGCCCCTGTGGAAGAGGACAAGTTCTCAAGGAGGATAGATTTCAAGGTATGAGAGACTTGCCATACCATTCCCTCTTTGCATCTCGGGGTTCCAGCTTCACTGTACTAACCTTCTGGTAACCGTGCTTCCCATGGAGCAGCCCAAACTGTCTTGATCTATAATACAAAAATTCAGGTTTGCCTGATAGATCTACTTCTCTGTGTAAATTAACAGCTGGACTTCTGGAGTTTGTAAAAAAAACCTTTATTTGCCAGCCCTGCTAAGGGAATTGCATCTATTCACTGCACCAATCAATTTGGGTTTTGGAGCCAGAGGCCTGCAAATCACACCCCTCAAAACAGCCAAGGCTGCTACCTTAGCAGCACTGCCTTGTGCCAGTTAATCTGCAACAAGTGGGAAGAGTGAGAATGAAGGGGAAGCAAATCCTAGCTTGAGAGGTAAGGAAGGTTCCAGGGCATAGCCAGGAATGGAAGTAGGGGCTGAAGCCTTTGCCTCACCTTCTACATTTCCTCCAGGAAGCCTTGCTTGATTCTTGCTCCACCAGGCTGGGGTAGATGCCCTCCCAAGCACATTTCATGGCACTGGTCACACTGGGTAGGGAACATCTGTCTCCTTGTTGGACATACCTGAGCTTCTGGAAGGTAAGAACAATGTTATTTGTTTTTGGAGCCTGGGATCCTGGTACAGAACAGCTACTGAGTTAATGTTTTCTTGAGAGCATGATTGAATAAATGAAAGAGAGACAAAATGGATGAAGTAAGGATCAGAGGGTGGACTGTAAACCTTCCAGGTCAGGAATGGAACTGCCTAGTAGTGCTGTAATCCCCAGTGTCCCCCACGTGCCTTGCAGTCAGTACCCAAAGTGTTTTGGATGGGCTGACCAAGGGTCAAATCCCCCTTGCCTCTTCCTGGAACCTTACCCCGACCACCCTTCTCTTCTCCTTGCTGGTAGCAAAGAGGGAACATCCAGTCCCTGCGCCACACAAAAAGCAAGACCGAACCGGGTCGTGTTTGTTCCCTGTCGCTAACAGATGTAGGGGCTTGTCTTTCCCCATGAAGGAAGTTTCCCAGGGCAAGGTTGCTCCTGGCTCTGTCTGACTTAGGTACTAGGACCCGCAGCGGCCAGTATCCCAGGCCTCTCAGGCTTCTTCCGTGTGTGCACTGCTGGCTCCACGGGCCCCCTCCAGAGAACAATCTCCGGGCGCGCCACCGCCCAGTCCCTCCAGAGCTGGGCGGCGGGGTGGGGGGGCATCTGTGGCTCTCCACCCTTCCTCAACCCCCTCCCCCGTCACAGCTCTGGCGCCCTCCCTGCAGCCCCGAACTTTGCAAACTTTCAGAGTTTTCCTCCACTGGCTTCACAAAAAAGGCAGGAAGGTGACTAGAGCCCAGAAGGCAAGGCAGCTGCGGCGGCTGGAAGGGGGCAGGGGGCGGAGAAGAGCAGTGCTAAAGCCGGGGAGGCGAAGGGGGGATTGAGGGAGAGGGAGAGGCCTCCCTACATGGGAGAACGACGCAGTAGGCGCCTCTTCGCAGGTTGTCTCCTCCCTCTTTCATCCCGGCAGGGCAAATGAGGGCCACTGCCAGAAGGAAAGAAGGGAAGGGAAGACCAGGCAGCTCCAGCGCCCCAGGCCCGGGAGGGCGGAGCCAGTGATCCCTGCCCAGCCAGCCCGCCTGCCTGCGGAAGTGCTGTGGAGTTTGCCTGTTTTCCCTCCCTCCCTTCTCCCCGCACCTCCCCCCGCCCTCAGGCTGTTCCCTCCTTCTCTGGGACACCACCTCCCAGAATCGCCTTTTTTTTTTTGTTTTGGAGCTGGCTTCTCGCAGGCGGCACGGAGGGGCTGTGAGTGCTGGGGGAGAAGGCGGCCTGGGGGTGCAGCCTGCCACTTACCGCCGGACCTGCCAGCAAGAGCAGAGGACGGCAGGCGGGACGCCATCTGCTCTCGGGAGCTCACTCTGCAAACTCCTGTTGTGTGTGTGCGCGCATGCTGGCGAGGGCAGGGGTCTGTAGGGCCGGCACCAAGTGTCTACGGCTGGGCTTACCTTTGAACTGGCGTCCTCGGACTCAGATCAGAGTCAACTTCAGGCTCAGAAACTGCTGAAGAATTAGGCAAACAAAAGAGGCCACTCAGCTGGTGGCCAGAAGTCGCCTGAGCGCCTAGTCCACTCCCTCCTTCCTTGGGGCGGAGGCTGGCCACTTTGTTGGGGAGCGGGCGCCAGAGACGGCTGGGGGCCCTCTGCGCTGTGGGGTCGGAGAGTTGGCGGCCTGTTGTGTAAGCCTCAGTCCTTGTTTTCCCGGCCTGGCTCGTTGGAAAGCCGGACACATCCACCCTTGGACTGGATTCAGGAGGCTGCTGCTTTTCTCCTTGCCGCTCTTGGATTTTCTGGATTTTTGAAAACCTAGTGGCCCAGGAGGAAGAGGAGGAGGAAGAAGGAGGAAGGAGCAGATCTTAGGAGAATGTGAGTCTCCCAAGGCCTGAGGAGCCAGAAAAAGCTGGGAGCTAGAGCTGCCGGGGTTCTGGAACGGTGGTTTCCAAGAGATTCTCTTTTGTTTTAAAACGTTGTTCCAGTGGAAAGTGGAATTCTTGCTCTCTCAGAGCTTATTTCTCCGAGTCACTTGACTTTTCTTCTGGGAGTAGGAGGAGGGAGAGACTCCCCCTCTGGCTGCTAAAGGGAGGGAGGAAGACTATGGACATGAGCCTCTCCTGTCTCCAGACATGTGCTGGGAAACCTGATAGGGCAGTTTCTGGGCCATGGACACAGCTTTGAAGAGAGAGAGGCTGGACAGCATCTCTGTGTGCTGAGATCTGCTTTAGGAGCTGAGAGACTAAGCTGCTGGGGCAAGCCTTGGTTTGCCAGTGCATTCTTGGATATCCTAGCAAGTGCCCCCAGTTCTGGGCAGAACCTTCTCATCTTTCTCTATCACTGGCACAGCCATGGCACTAAAAGGCCGAGCCCTCTATGACTTCCGCAGCGAGAACAAGGAAGAAATCAGCATCCAGCAGGATGAGGACCTGGTCATCTTCAGTGAGACCTCGCTGGATGGCTGGCTGCAGGGCCAGAACAGCCGTGGTGAATCAGGGCTCTTCCCTGCCTCTTATGTGGAGATCATCCGTTCTGTTACCAGTTCCAACCATGCAGACTACTCCAGCAGCCCTGCAGGCTCTCCAGGCACCCACGTGAACTTTTATCACAGCGCCAATGTGGCCAACCCTTCCAAGAGTGGTGGGGGTAGTGGCTTCCTCTCAAACCAGGGAAGCTTTGAAGAAGATGATGATGATGACTGGGATGACTGGGATGATGGATGCACAGTGGTGGAGGAACCACAGGCTGGTGAGCTGGGTACCAATGGGCACCCCCCACTCAACCTTTCTTACCCCGGTGCCTACCCCAGGCAGCACATTGCCTTTCGGCCCAAACCACTCCTGGAGCGGCAGGACAGCCTGGCATCTGCCAAGCGAGGCAGTGTGGTGGGGCGCAACCTCAACCGTTTCTCGTGCTTTGTGCGCTCTGGAGTAGAGGCCTTCATCCTAGGTGATGTGCCCATGATGGCCAAGATCGCTGAGACATATTCCATTGAAATGGGCCCTCGTGGCCCCCAGTGGAAGGCCAACCCTCACCCATTTGCCTGCTCAGTGGAGGACCCCACCAAACAAACCAAATTCAAGGGCATCAAAAGCTACATCTCCTACAAACTGACACCCACCCATGCTAGCTCCCCTGTCTACCGGCGCTACAAGCACTTCGACTGGCTCTATAACCGCCTGCTGCACAAGTTCACTGTCATCTCAGTGCCCCACCTGCCAGAGAAGCAGGCCACAGGCCGCTTCGAGGAGGACTTCATTGAGAAGCGGAAGCGGCGGCTCATCCTCTGGATGGACCACATGACCAGCCACCCTGTGCTGTCCCAGTATGAGGGCTTCCAGCATTTCCTCAGCTGTCTGGATGCCAAGCAGTGGAAGATGGGAAAACGTCGGGCAGAGAAGGATGAGATGGTGGGTGCCAGTTTTCTGCTCACCTTCCAGATCCCCACGGAGTACCAGGACCTGCAGGATGTGGAGGACCGTGTGGACACCTTCAAGGCCTTCAGCAAAAAGATGGATGACAGCGTCCTGCAGCTTAGCACTGTAGCATCCGAGCTGGTGCGCAAGCATGTGGGGGGCTTCCGAAAGGAGTTTCAGAAGCTGGGCAGTGCCTTCCAAGCCATCAGTCATGCTTTCCAGATGGACCCCCCCTTTAGCTCCGAGGCCCTCAATAGCGCCATTTCTCACACAGGCCGTACCTATGAAGCTGTTGGCGAGATGTTCGCTGAGCAGCCCAAGAATGACCTCTTTCAAATGCTCGACATGTTGTCTCTGTACCAGGGCCTGCTCTCCAATTTCCCTGACATTATCCACCTGCAGAAAGGTAAGAGCCATTGCAGGCTGGAGACCCTAACTAAGTTTGCACTCTACTGGATGTGGGGACATGAGCATGGCCTATACAGAAACAGTAGCTCATCTAGTCTTTCTACCTGTCTTATTCATTGATTCAAAAAGTGTGTTGAGCACTTACTATATGTGGCAGGTGTTATTCTAGGTGCAGGGATATTGTGGATGGATTGGTCCCTGGCTGCATGGAGCTTGCTGTTTACCTTCTTTTTGTCTGTTCTTTTCTTCCTGCATATATTATTTTTTGTTTCTGTCTCATTTTCTCATGTACCAATTATACACTGAGCTCTTCAAGGTATTAGGCTGGATTCTGGGAACATGGAGATGACTACGGCCCAGGCCTTGCCCTTGAGGAGCCCACAGGCTCATGGGGGACCAAGATAACAACAGTGTGGTATAGCCTGTCTTCCCACTGCCGAACAAGCTCACCTCCCTTCAGAGCCTGTTCTCACCACTGAGTATCCTATCTGTGAGCTCCCGATCTGTGTGCGGGAGGGTCGCTGCCCCCATTCCGTAGATGAAGAAGCTGATGTCCACGGAAGAGTAGTTGCACAGAGAGTCCGTGGCCCAGCTGGGACTGTACCTTCTTCCTGTGCCTCCCCAAGGACACATCCATGTTGGCCACCTCCCAAGTTCAGTTTGTGTTTTCAGTTCTCACGGCCCCTTTGTGAGGGAGGGACAGGATAGGCCCCTGTCTGTTACTGTGGGGATGTCAAGGAACTGCCAGGGAAGTGACTCATCCCGGGTCATTGAGGGGCACCCGGGCTGGGCCAGGGGAGGAACCAGAGGTCCAGGGGCACAGGGCTCTTCCAATTGCCCCTTCCCCTAGCCTGGCTATCTTCTTGCTGTGAGTTGGGCTCACCTGACCAGACAGGTGGCTGAGTCCTGGGGATAACAGTCAGGGCAGATGTCAAGAGAGAGGTGTGGTCCTCTCTAGGGCTGCTTGGTAACTCAGGAAGAACGTCTAGGGTGTGGGTCTGGCTCCTTGGCCCCTAGGCTCTGAGGTCAGGCCTGGCTTGGTGGGGAGTTTTCCTCTGGGTGGGACCAGGAGTCAGGCCTCTGAACTGAGCCTAGGGGTTAGCAAATACCACCCTGTACCTTGGTTCCCAGGAGAGTCTGGAGTAAACCAGCCCTGTTCTCCTTACCAGGAGGTTGACTTCTAGAACTTATGTAGCTCCCAGCCAGCCTCCTTTCTCCCTTTACTTTCTCTTTTTCCTTCTCTGCCCTTTGTTCTCATCTCCACATTCCTCTGCTCCTTCCCTCTTTTAGCTTCAGGAGACAGGAGGCCTGAGTTCTAGTCTTGGCTCTGCCCCAATTTGCTGTGTGTCCCTGGGAAGTGCCTTCTGCTCTCTGGGCCTTCATTTCCTGATCTGTAAAACGAGAGAGAGTGGACCCAGTGACCTCTTAGGCCTTCAAGGTGGGGAGGGATGGGGAGAATCTGGTTGAGGACAGAGTGATGCCTGAGATCTAGCTCTGAGCTCTAGGGCAGGGGAGGTGGCTAGCCAGCTGGGGCCCACTGTAGCAGGTGTCTTCCTGCCGGAAGTAGAGCCACGCCCACTGAGTTAGGGCCTGGGAAAGCTGGTTCAACCAGCTCCTTGGATAGCATGTTCCCATGTGGGCAGAGGGAGGGGGAAGGGGGGAAGCCAGGTCACAGTAATTAAACAGCTGCCCCCTGGGGTGGCTGGGGACCCTCACCCAGGCAGAGCTGGGGGCAGGAAGGCAGCCCCATACCCAGAGCTCCCAGGCTCGCACGTAAGTGAAGAGAATGAATCCAGATTGGCCTTTCTGACCCTGGGACAGGGAAACGTAGCTAAGAGAGGCCATTTCTGACTTTTTACTTGAGGCGGGGAGACCTGCAGACCAGGTAAGGTCTGGTGGAGGTGACACAGTTGAGACTAGGACTCAGACCTCAGCCTGGTGTAGATGGTAACAACCTCCAAGAGGTGGGGGCAAGACGGATTAAGGTGGGAGCTTTGAGACTATACCTGGGATCCTGGAGCTCTAAAGCTCCAACCCTCTTTTCTTTGTTCCTAGGACCCAGCCTACAGGACAACTGCTGGGGCAGGAGGCTCCCCTGGGTCCTCAGCTCTCAGGTTGAGTCTTAAGTGGAATGTTAGGGAGGATGTTGGACAGGCCTGAGCCATGACTCTCACTCAGCCTGTCTCTGGGGCACGTTAGTGTTGGCTGGTCCAGGCCCTAGAGCTGAGTCACAGGGTGGAGAGGTGACAGAGAGCAGGGTGGGGCCTCCGCCTCCCCCTCACCCCCATGGCCTTTGCCCCCCATCCCTATTTCTTTGCCTGTCTGCCTGTCTTTGGATACCTAGCAATTGCAATAGAGTCATTCTTATTATTTTGGCCTTAGTCTCCTTATCAACAAAAGAGGCCTTTCCTTTCTCTAAGGCCATGGGTGAGAAAAGCCCTCTTGAGTGCAGGTCCACTCCCACTGTACCTTGACTTTCTCAGGCAGGTGGAATCCAGGGTGGTTAGCGTCTCCTCTTCCAGTAGGTTCCTTTGGTTGGAGCTTAACTCCAGTTTCATTGTCTCGTTTTCTACTTCTTATTGTCCTTCCTTATTTCTTGGGACCTTTTTGAATCTCTGAGTTCATTGTCTAGGAGCCCCATACAAATACCTAGGTGACCTGGCCTGAGATCCCTGCATAGAGGTGGTGTCCATCCCCCACTATGGAGGGATATCTCTGGGCTAGGCATCCCTCATGTGTGGGGCAGGAAGGAGGTAGGAGCCCCTAGCAAGTTCCTTCCTTCATGGCCTCAGTTTCTCTATACAGTGGTGGTGTGTATGTATGGGGTATGTGTGTGTGTGTGTGTGTGTGTGTGTGTGTGTGTGTGTGTGTGTGTGTGTGTGTTGGGGGGCTCTAGGGCCTCTTCTGCTCTGAAGTCTCTTATTGGGTCTTTATCCCAGGCCTTAGGGTGATTCTGTTTCTGCTGCCCAAGCGTCGGCCATTGGGGTAGAACAGGAGGCAGGAGGTAGTTCAAGAAAGGTAACAGAAATACTGAGTGGGCTGGGACCTGGTGAAAGCAGTGTTCATTTGGGTGCTATGTGAGCAGCCCTGGAGACTGTCCAAACTTGAATTCATCTGCCCAAAATGCCAGTATTAGCCAATTAGCCATGCATTTGTCTACTAATCTGGGTGCTGTCACTTTTAAAGGCCTCCAGAGTTATTTCCAGGATATAGTAAATGCTCAATAAATGCATCTTGAATACATCTAACAACTTGAGAGTAAAAAGATACATTTTGAAGGTCCTTGAGAGGCCTCCTTAAAGAATAAATGGGAAGCATGCATAATGAGCATGTTGTTCATGTGTAGTGGAAACTTTTGAAGTGCTCCAGGAATGTGCTGTCCACCATGCCAGCCCTTTCCGCCCCCTAACTCTTCTTTGCACAGTGGATTTCCTAAAGCTCTGAAGGAGTGAGTGCTGGGCAAAGGCAAACTGCCTCCCCTTGTCAGCATCTGCCCCACCAGCTTCAGTGCAGCATTAGTCAAGTACCTGTTAATTCAGAACTGAAACCCATTCACCAATTGCTTTTTCATTGGTTCTTCAGATTCACTCAGATTCTTCCAAATTGGATCACCTACCCAGGTTCATCCCTTGCCCTCCATCTGTCACTTGGTTATTAAAATGGCCTCCTCTGATCCCCTGGGAGCTAGAGTGAGGAGGGGCCAGGGCCTGTCTTTGGAGAGATACACACAAAGGAAAACTCCAGGTGGCCTTTGAGGCTCTGTTTTAGACTCAGCAGTGTGATAGAGATGGGAAACATTCTTCCTGGGAGCACTGAGGGAGGCTCCTGGTGTACCTGATACATAGGGGTCCAGCAAGCAGAGAGATGAAAGTAGAAAAGAGCAGGGTGAGCCTGATAAACATGGGGTCAGTGCGTATGAGTGCAGGGGCCAATTCCCAGAGGGCCTCACAGACCAGGCGAATGGGTATGGACCTTGATCTTCAGGCAAAAGAGAGTCAGCTAAGGCTTGGAACTATGGGTACCTAGTTTGGCTGCTCTTCAGATGCTTTGGAGAACCTCTCAGAGACTGGGTTGGAGTTGGGGGGCCCTTTGGGAGCCTGTTATAGCTGTCCAGTGAGGTATAGTTTTAGTCAGCTCAGTAGACACTCATCAGGATCTGCTGTGGGCTAGTCTTTGTTCTGGTTGCTAGAGACATTGAGCTCACAGCCCAGAGGAAGGCAGTCAGAGAAACGACAGGGTGGTAAGAGCTGTGGTAGAGGGAAGCCTAGGACACCTGAGAGAATTGAGAGGCATCTAATACAGTGGGTGTGCAGGAGATGCATCCTGGAAGAGGTGATGTCTGAGCTGAATTAGGAGCCAGTATGAGAGAGGATGAAGCCTATGGTGGGTTGCAACAGCTGCTCCTAGAAATCAGTGTAGCTAGCTGAGCTATGACTGGTCGAGTTGTGGGCTGCTGGTAGTACCACAGGTTTGGAGGGAAGAAGGTGCATCTGGTTTAGGATGTGCCAAATGAGGGTTGGGGGACATCTTGATGGAAACATCCAGTGGCTGGACCCGAGGTCTGGAGTCCATGAGCAAGGCCCGAATTGAGCTAATGAGGGTCTCTTGAGGGAGCTCATAGAGAGTTTAGGGAGGGAATGGGTAGATAAGAGCCCTAACCTCCCTTGTTCTCCACTTTGCCTGTGCTAGGAGCTTTTGCCAAGGTGAAGGAGAGCCAGCGCATGAGTGATGAGGGCCGCATGGTGCAGGACGAGGCAGATGGCATTCGCAGGCGCTGTCGTGTGGTGGGCTTCGCCCTGCAGGCTGAGATGAACCACTTCCACCAGCGCCGCGAGCTCGACTTCAAGCACATGATGCAGAGCTACCTGCGCCAGCAGATCCTCTTCTATCAGCGGGTAGGCCAGCAGCTAGAGAAGACGCTGCGCATGTACGACAACCTCTGACTGGGTGTACCTGGCCCCCAACTTGCCTTCGGCCTGGTCACTGCAGTGCACCTCTGCTCTCTAGACCTGCCGGTACCAGCAGCAGCTGGGGAGGACTTTGGAAGAGTCATGGGTACCCCTGGGGAACTCCCCCACCCCTTAGAGGTGGGGGGATAGCAGGGGTGAGAATGGGGCCAGGAACCCTCCAGGCTGAGGCCTAGGCTGCTGGTCAGTCACTTGAGGCCAGGCCAGGGTCTTAGCCTCCCCTTGAGCCTAAAGTGCTCACACACCAAGCCACCACTCCCTTGTTCACTCAGCAGACACTGGGGCCTGCTGTGGCCCCGGGTCACCTAGGGCTGTGACATGCCTGCCCTCAGGGTGTCCCCAGTTGAGGTGGGGATCAGACACAGAAACAGATGGGGGCAATGCAGGATGACCCATGGTAAATAAGGGGTTCCTGCAAGCTCATAGAGGGAACTACTCATTCTGCTGGTCAGAGTAAACTCCATGGTGTAGATGACATTTGAGCGGTGTCTTAAAGAATGACAAAGTGATAAATGGGGGTAGTAGATGGGGAGGACATTCAGAAGAGAGGAACAGCACGGGCAAAGGTGTGGAGGCATGAAAACATCTCTTTCACTCGCCCTTACTTTTCCTAAGCAGGTTTGCTGCCCTACCTTGGTGGGGATTATGGCCTGTGTGATAGAGGAGAGAGATCTTCCTTGCTTCCATGTCCCTGTCCCTGCCCCACCCTTGCCTCCTACAGGAGAGACTGCAGGCCAACTCACTCCTGACTTCTCTCCACTTGCTGAGCCCCCTTTGCCCCTTGGTTAGGGGACTGTGCAGCATCTTTTCCCTGGGCTCAAGGTGCTGAGACACTATTAACCCCAGGACCTGGTGGCATCTTCCTGGAGGGGACACCTGAAAGTAGGTACCAGATATTTGAGTTCACCAGCAATAGCTCCCCATACTCAAGCGGGCTTAGACCCCAGGCTCCCAGGGTCCTCAGGCCCTGTGAATCCTGGAATCCTTCCTGTTGTATAGTGGGAAACCCAGGGGAAAAAAACAGGGGCTGGCCTGCCCACTGCCTAGGGACCCTGGGCCCGCCTGCCCATGGCCAGCCTCACTGTGATCCCAGCCTGGGTCTTAGCTGTTACCTGTCTCCCACCCATGTTTACATCCTTGAGAGGGCTATTCCTTCCCCCCAGGCCAGGGTGTGCTTCAGCAGTGGGTTAGAGGGAACTGACAGGTGCCACTGTTGGCATCCCCCACACCCCCAGGAGGTCATGGTCATTCATGGCTGCTGCTTGAATCTTTTTCCTTTCTTGTTTTCTTGATAAACCTCTTACAATTAAGATAACAAACACATGACTTTTTGGTTTGGATCCCAGAGGGGATGAGGGTGGGGGAAGGATAGAACCCTAACTGTCCCTGAGGTCATAGTAGGCACAAAATTTACCCCAAAACCTCAGCAGTCGTGAGGGAGTTGTGCTGATGGGAGGTTCTGGCTTGGGATCTACAGGTGGCCATGGGCCACAGCTGGATCCATATGCTTCCCAGACCTCACTCTTCTCATCTCTCAAATGGTGGAATCCTGCCCAGGGTTTAGCTCTGCTGCTCTGTGGTCTAGGACTAAGAGTTGGATGAAAAAGGGATAGGAGGTTGTGCCCCCAAGACAGTCTGACAGAGTTCTTCTCCCCAGGGAGGCCCCAGTCCAGGGGAGGTGGCTGCTCAAAAACTGTCCTCCACCAGGTAGTCCTGGGCGGCCAGTCCACGGTGGCTTCCTTGTTGGAAACTGAGGAGGATTCCTAGCCCTGCCCTTGGGGTTGCCCCAGACAGAATGGACAGGAATCTGGTCACACACGGGAAAGAGGAGTGCTGGTGAAACAATGGTTCTCTTTTGGGGCAGTGGGGACTTGACAGAGAGAGGAGTGCTGGCTTCTGGGCATCAGGGGAGGCTTTGGCTAGGCCAGACGCTCAGTAGCTTAGGGCAGTGAGAGGAGGTGAGGGGCAGCAAAGGCTCCTCATTCAGGGCAGAGCATCCTCAGAGGAGCTTCAGGAATGGGCCCTTGGCCCTGGGTCAGAATTAGGTCAGATTTGGGACTTTCTGTGGAATTTTCCCCTCCCTATCCTCCTTCCTTCATTTTCCAACCTCCTGAGGACCTTCCCGCCCTTAACCCCTTCTCAGCTTTGACCTTTAGGTGGTTTTCTGCAGAGGGGAATCTGATCACAGTTGGCGAGAGGAGGAGGCGGGGCCTCCTTCTCGAAGTTAGTCTGGATGGGGTGGGAAGGAATTCTTTTCGTAACCCACATTGCTTGGAAAGTCCCCATTCATGCTTCCTGCCCTGGGAATGTCCTCTTGTGTCCCTCTCTTGAAGGGGGCTACCTCCCATGCCTCCCATCCTTATGGTGAGGGAGTTGGCCTGACACTTTTTTCTGGGGGGATTGGACCTAGGAGAAGAATCAGAACGTGAAGTCTTGGAACGGGTCAGGCCTACAGCAGGCATTTTGAGGTCAGCATATGTGGTGGGGACCAAGATATCAGCCTCTCTCCGTGGTTTCTTTCTATCTCTGTGTGGGTCAGGGTATTGGGGTAATTTGAGATCTGTCAGGGCTGGCTAGAGCCCCTTTCAGCAGGGAATTTGGGGAATGGTGTGTGTAGGGGGGTGACCTGGTGGTGGCATGGCCTCAGTCACATGTGAAGCACATGTTCCAAACTGAGCTGGGCCCAGTGGCCTGCAGTTCCCTCCCTTATTTTGCTCTAAGTGAGACAGAAAACAAGGCCTCTCTGCCCTGGGCAACTAACTACCAAAACCTGAGGGTAGGGGACCAGCCCAGGAAAGGAGCCTGTTTTGTGGCCACATGTGGGGGTTGGGGATGGAAGTGGTCTTTATATCCTATATCCTGTCGCCTTTTAGACACACAAGGGCCATGAACCACTGTAGCATTGCTGGAACAGAGCCAGGCCTGGGAGAGAAAGGTGGCCTCAGGCCCAGCTCACCACCCTCCTCCACTCTGTGGCGCACACAGTCATCCGCACGTCCCCATGGTCATAGACACTGCTGCCCAACACAAAGCAAGCACAGCCACATACTGCCACACAACCTGCCCACAGGCACATAAGCCACACCTGACCACATACACGTGTATGTATGGTCACGTGCTTACACAGTTGCACTCCTAGTGCCACACACTGTCACATTCATGGTCATCCACACACGTTGGCCGCATCCACACACGTTGTCTTCTGTTGACAGTGTCAATCTCAGCCATGTCATCACTCCCAGCTGTATCACAGTTCCATGCACATAGTCACACCCTCACACAATGACACACACATACGCCTACAAAGTCACACAGGCACATAGCAAAGGTGTCACACACATTTAGCTGTACCTGGACTGTACCTATACCAGCTCCTGGGGGAGCCAGCTGGGATCATCCATCACCCAACACCACCACATTCAGTTCTTCATTGCACAGATGAGGAACTTGATGAGGTCTAGTGAGGGTGGCAGCTGGCTGCACCACCCAGTATGCTGGGGGATGCTTTGGGCCAGAGCCCAGCTCCTCATAGGCTCTGTGGTCTGCCCTTGCCCCCACTGTGCCAGTCCCCAGGTCCAGACTGCCTCTGAAGGCCCCTGGCTGAAATCACCAAACAAAGCTCCAGGCATCTCCCATACCACAAGAACAAGAGCCAGGATGTGGTGGGCAGGGCCCAGGCCTTGGGCTAGAGGAACATTCCTGTACCATCTCCCCAAGTATGCAAGGACTGGGCCTGCCTTGCCTGCCTGCCTGCTGACTCAGGCCCTCAGGAGCCAAGGCTGCTCGGCTCACCCTACCCCCCATCCTGCTTCCCCACCAGTTCAGCTCTGGTACCTCTCTGTTGGCTAGGGCAGAAAGATATGATGAGCCCTGGCAAAAAGATCACAGGGAACAAAAATTCACCTCCCCAGACATAGCTCAGAAGGGTTGATTGTGAAATGCCTCTCTGGAGTTCAACATAGTTTAACACAAACCTTTTTTCCTTTGGTTTTGTTTCATTAGTCAAAGCCCAAAGCAGTCCAGTCTGTTTAAAAAACAGTATCTCACACAGCTATGGCCTCCTTGGTCTGCAAAACAGCCCTTGTTAGGCATCATTATTTCATTTCATGGACAAGAGACCAAGACTTGGCTAGAGGGAGGATAGGACCTACCTAGGATCACACAGTGAGGCCGAGGTGAGCTGGACTCGAACCCAGCTCTCTGGCTTCATTCCTTAAAGTCACATGAATTAACTCATTTAGGTCCCAAGGAAGAGGGAGTGGAAGATCTCCATTTCAGAGATGGGAAAGAATGAGAGGCTAGTGAACCCAGCTGCTGAAATGGGAGGTAGCCTTAGGCCAGGTGGGTCCTGCCAGTGTCCAGGGATGAAGAGTCTGATGACGGCATCACATGGTCCATGGCTGGCAGGCTGGTGGCATCTGAGGCGACTCAGGGTCTTTGTTACAGATGAACGTATGAGGAACACAACTTCATTTCTCTATAACTGACCTGAGTTACTCTCTTGCTTTGTCATTCCTCCACAAGGTAAAAAATTAATCTCCAATCAATTTGGGGACCACTTCTTTCCTGAGGGATGTATTTATGTTTTGGGGATGGTATGTTCGAAGGCCATAGGCAGGCTCCTGGCACTTTGAATTTTGGAGGCCGAGTCACACAGGAAATTTTGCCTGCATTCCACATTAAAAGTCATTAATATATGTTTGAGTTGGGTTCAGTTTACTGTTCGACAATGTCTTATCTTATAGATATTTAATTAAACTTTATTAATTTTGATTTTGTCTTTTT